GGCCTGAGCGCTGTCCCTCAGCTCTTCAGCTCAAGGCGAGCGCTCTACCACTTGAGCTACAGCGCCACTTCCGGGTTTCTGGTGGTTTATTGGAGATAGGAATCTCACGGTCTCTCCTGCCCGGGCTGGCTTTGAACCGCGATCCTCAGATCTCAGCCTCCTGAGTAGCTAGGATTGCAGGCGTGAGCCACCAGCGCCTGGCTGTGTTCTGTTTTTGGATGAAGTCTTTGCTTCTATGTTTTCAAATGAATTGGAGAAATTCAACTGACATTGAATTACTGCACACAGTTTTTTATTATATAAAGTATATATGTACACAGTCTTTAGTCTTCTTTTTTAATAAAGATTTACTTCATTGTGTTTTGTGGTTTTTTTATTCAATATAGGGCTTGATCTCTGGGCCTGAGCACTGTCCCTCAGCTCTTCAGCTCAAGCCTAGCACTCTATCACTTGAGTCACAGCGCCACTTCCTAAGTCTTTAGTCTTTAGATAAATGGAAACTAATTGCATTGTTCTGATTTGAAAAAAGTAATCTCCAATCTCAGGAGTGTAATAAACAGGTGCTTGTTTTTAGCATGTCATGTTTAATCATGGGAGATAACTGGTAAGACCTAGTTGAAAAGTCTTTGAAGTTCTTTTACTCCCTAGTGTTAAAGCTCTGCTTTGTTTCTCTGATTTCTCTCCAGGTTAAAAAGGCCTTCTTTGCCTTGGTAGCTAACGGGGTCCGCGCAGCACCGCTGTGGGAGAGTAAAAAGCAGAGTTTTGTAGGTGAGCACTGGGATGGGAGTGTCTGTGCAGGAGGAGGCCTCAGGACACAGGCCCTTGTGGGGCTGCTTTGGGATTCTTCATGTTGCCAAATTAAACTCCATTCTGGCCAGGAACTGGTGGCTCACACCTGTCATCTTAGCGATTCAGGAGTTTGAGATACGGGGATCGTGAACAAAGCCAGTCTGAGCAGGAAAGGGTTGTTATCTCCAGTTAACTACCCAAAAAGTCTGAACTGGTGGAGACCTTACCTTGAGCCGAAACGCTCAGGGACAGCACCCAGGCCCTGAGTTCAGACCACAGTGTAATCAATTAAACTCCATTGTTGCTTTTGCACACTGGCCAAGGCGAAGTTGCCAGGAAATTTACACCACTACTCTGCTTTGATTGGATTTGGGGGGAGGGGGGTTGGTTTTTGTTGTTGTTGTTTTTAGTTTTTTAATTTAGCAGCTTTTTGGCACTCCAAAGGAGTTCTGTGCCTCTCCCAGCCAAAGGAACAAAATCCGCAGAGCTACTATAGACAGGCTCCCTGGCCATGCTGGCTCCAGGCAGCGGGGTACTCATGCTGGTCATCATTCATCACCTCTCTGACAGGACACCCGGCATCAGTAGATAGCCACAGTCCACCATCTTTGCTAAATCATGCTCGACCACTACAAGTGCCCCCGACCATTTATACAGGTGCTTCCTAATAGAGTACACCTGAAAGCATTGTCTCCCATGGACTTTAGTGCATTAAAGTATTTTTTATTATTTACAAATAGCCACAATTTTTTTGTTTTGTTTTTTGGTCCCAGTCCTGGGGCTTGAACTCAGGGCCTGGGCATTGTCCCTGAGCTCTTTTGCTCAAGGCTGGTATTCTGCAACTTGAACCACAGCTGCACTTCCAGCTTTTTGGTGATTTATTAGAAATCAGAAAATCATAAATCCTCCCTCCCTGGGCTGGCTTTGAACCATGATCCTCAGATCTCAGCCTCCTGAATAGCTGGGTTTATAGATGTTTTCTGTCATTAATCTTGCAGATACTCTTTATTAGTCTCATCCTTAAGATCAGGTTTATTTCCAGCTAGGTTTTTGTGCCCAGCTCATTGTAGACAGTATACTAGAAGTTTTAAATAATAAATGAAAAGAGTGTTTAAGATCTTTCTATTTAGTTAGCTTTACTACTCAGTTATTACATCTTCACCTCTTATTTGAAATTTCCCTTTTATATATCTGTAGTTTTGTTCTAACATAGAATTCTTTGTTGTTCCAGGAATGCTAACAATTACAGACTTCATAAATATACTACATAGATATTATAAATCACCTATGGTAAGTGATGGCAATGTTCATTTTATTTTAGTAGTTGGAGCTATATGCTCTAGTATGTGGGAAGGGGGGAGTAAAGTACAGGATGGTGGTCAAGCTGGTTGATGTTCCATATATATAGAGAGAGAGAGTGTGTGTGTATACATATTTATATTTATATTTATGCTATATATAAGGAAATTCAGTGTAAAGCTACTAGCCCTATCAACTGAGAATAAAACTCATCATATATTAGAAACTTAAGGTATTCTCAGGAAAAGTAACCAGAACAGGTGGTCAGGTGGTCTATTCAGGTTGTCAGAATTCCTGTTTATTCCCTAGCCTTTCAGTGAGTGTCACCAGGCTCCTGCTGCTTTACCCTGGGAGACGGCCAGGCAGCTCAGGGCTTGGCAGAGTAGAGTAGCACCTGCCCCACATCCCTGCATCCCTTGCTTGGCCCAGCAGGATCTCTGCAGATGAGGTGGGCACAGGACGTCATGTGGGCAGGTGGCAGTGTGAGAATAACCAGGTTCTGTCACACCAGCAGATTGATAACTGCTTAATGATTGTTTTAAAAGAAATAAGAATTAAGATGGAAGAAACGAGGTTTGCCTTTTCCTGCTAACTAGGAAAAGGTTGCTTTGGCTGATGTTGGTGGCCGAATCCCCCGTACGTGGTTCAGCTGAACTAGGGAGCAGAGTTTGGAGACTACTGCCTTTTTTTTTTTTTCAGGTCGGTCATGGGGCTTGAACTCTAAGCCTGGGCGCTGTCCCTCAGCTCTTCAGCTCAAGGCAAGCACTCTACCACTTGAACCACAGTGCCACTTCTGATTTTTGTTTTGTTTTGTTTTTCTGGTGGTTTATTGGAGATAAGAGTCTCACATGGGCTGGGAAGGTGGCTCAGTGGTAGAGCACTTACCTTGCATGCCTGAGGCCCTGAGTTCGACTCCTCAGCACCACATAAGAAAAAAGGAAAAAAGCCGGATGTGGCGCTATGACTCAAGTGGTAGAGCACTAGCCTTGAGCTGAAGAGCTGAGGGACAGCGCCCAGGCCCAGAGTTCAGGCCCCACAACCGGACCCAAAAAAAAAAAAAAGAGTCTCACGGACTTTCTGTCCAGGCTAGCTTTGAAGCGTGATCCTCAAATCTCAGCCTCCTGAGTAGCTAGGATTATAGGCGTAAACCATCAGCTCCCAGTTTCTTAGTATTATTTTATTATTATTATTTCATTATTAATATTTAGGGCCTAACACTACTAGGCAAACACTCTATCCCTTGAACCACATCCCTCCAGCCCCTATTGCTTTACTTGGTTTTCAGTTAGGGTCTTGCTCTTGCCAGGTCCAGGCTCAGACCACGAACCTCCTGCCTCTACCTCCTGTCAAGCTGGAATTACACCTAGCCCAGAAACCCAGACCTTTATCAAACACCATACATAGTGATTCTGTCACCTTGGTGTTTTTGTTTGTTTGCAAAGATGGAAGAGGACAAGATGTAGACTTTTATTTAACATCTACAGTATAAAATACCTAAAAGACAGAAGTTGATCCTATACTATTTTTAGGAGTATCAGGCAGTTTGGTATAGGGTGTGGTAATGTGGTGTTTAGCAAGTGTGAGGTGTATGATCTTTTTATCTCTCACTGCTGTGCAGGCCTAGCAGAGTGTTGTTACACAAACTAAGATGGCCCCAACTTCAGTGCTGCAAGTCATGTCTGTGTGGTCCCTTCTTGACCAATGAGACAGAATGTGGCACATGACTAGAATTAATTCCTACATAAAGTAAAAAAATGTGTGGGGCTCTAGTGGCTCAATCCTAGACATTCAGAGGCTGAGTCAGAGGATCATGGCTCAAAGCTAACCCAGGCAGGAAGGTCTGTGAGACTCTTTATTAACCAGCATTCCAATTAACCATGAAAAGCCAGAAGTAAAATGTGGCTCAAGTGTAGAACACTAGTCTTGAGTACAAAAGCTCAGGGACAGAGCCGAGGCCCTGAGTTCAGAATTAAATAAATAAATATAGAAAGGCAGAAATGAATTTCTTCATAGCATATATTCTTAGAAGGAAGTTTTACTAAAGACTGTGAATGGTCTCTCATGTCATGTGATATGTCTGATTTCTAAAATAATACAAATGCAAAAAAAACTGTCCTTATATTGGCCTCTGTCCTTTTCAGGTATGATTTAAATGGATAATTTTGATAAAAAGAAACAAGTCCTAGCCAGGCACTGATGGCTCATGTCTGTAATCCTAGCTACTCAGAGTAGAAGGCTCAGAACTGAGGATCCCAGTTTAAAGCCAGTCTAGGCAGGAAAGTCCACGAGACTCTTATCTCCAATTAATCACAGAAAAAGCCAGAAATGGTGCTGTGGCTCAAGTGTAGAACACTGGCCTTGAGCAAAAGGAGCTCAGGGACAGCTTCCAGGTCTAGAGTTCAAACCCCAGGGCTGGCAAAAAAAAGAAAAAAAAAAAGAAACAAGTCCTATATAATCTTGGTAGTAGATTATTAAGTCAAAAGTTGCTTTAAAAAAAAAAATGTTCTGTGGCCCAACTTCTTAAAACGTGTAGGTACATTTATTTATTTTCTTCATATTTTCTAAATAGAGACAGAAAAATGCTATAGTAAAGCGATGTTTTATGTTATTTCCCAGTTAATTTATCTGTTGTATATGTTAACATCCATAAGTAAGAATTTTCCTTATTTGCAGGTACAGATTTATGAATTAGAGGAGCATAAGATTGAAACATGGAGGGGTAAGCACTTCTGATGTAAGAAATGTTACACATAGTGTGAACAGGGTGTGTTAATACAGCAGGTCCTTTTCTCTCTGCTGAATGACATGGTGGCTAAAAACATTGTTAGTTTCTGCTTTCATTTTGCGATTCTAGCATATCAAATATACACGTCACCACTGGTGTGATGGCATGTTCACAGTGCCCGGGGATGGGGGTGGAGGGCTAATAATGTGGGGGAGGTGGGCACCAAAAACCCTCAGACATCTGCCCTGTGGGAAGTAAGCACTGTTCTAACTATGGTTTCGGCCATACATGGAGCAAGTAAAGCTTGAACTGGATTGGTGATTGGTTGGAACAAATAACAAGGAAATAGCGTCAAGAACTCTGTCTTATTGAAATTCACATTTCACAAGCACAACGTCCTTTCCCAGAGCTCAGCCAACTTTCAGTCATGATGGTGAAGGTATTCATCTGGATGACTCTAGGAGAGAAGGCACGGGTAGGGATGGATAGGGTAGAAGACCCCTTTTCAGTGCTCAGAGAGCCAAGATGGAAATGGAAGAACCAGGCAAGGGAAGGGAAGTTACACACTTGAACTTCAAGAATCTTTAGCTGGGCGCTGGTGGCTCATGCCTGTAATACTAGCTACTCAAGAGGTTGAGATCTGAGGATCACAGTTCAAAGCCAGCCCAGGCAAGAGAGTGTGTGAGACTCTTATTTCCAGTTAACCACTTTGAAGCCAGAAGCAGAGCCCTGAGTTCAGTACCAGAATCCACACAACACACACACACACAGAGGCCAATAAGAGACTGGATAGGATACACTACCTTTTTAACTAGCTAGGAAATCAGAGCCTCTGTTAGAGGTTGCAAAGGGCTCTGAATTCCATAGACTTAGGAGCTTCATTGAAGGATACATTTGATTTATTAGGGCTTTTTCATTTGATTTATTTTGGCTTTAACCAAACCAAACTGAATGAATTAAGTCAACATGGAATTAGGAAGTGATTATATAACATGACACCATGACATAGCCTTCTTATCCTTCTGCACAGTGGCCACGGTGTTTGGGAGTGATAATAACACTAGACTATTCTCAGCTCCTCTCCATACACAGACCCTGATAGAGCAGATTGATTACACTTGATATCTTTACCAGGGAAGTTTCTGTGTGTTGGAAAGAGTCCCAAGACACACTAGGTTTTGGAACATTGATTTGGTTAAAAAAAGAACATGTAAAAAACAAAGTTGGCTGTAGCTGATTATACCTTTCAGCTTATGAAATTTCTTTTAAACGATTTCATAATGCTTCATTTCTTCAGAGTAATTTTAACATGCCAGAATGTAGTAGTCTCTGCCGGTTATTTCACCAAATATCTTCATACTTTCCTGATGTTATAAACAACCATTGAAATATTGATCTTTTAAATATTTAGCTTTTATTCAAAGAACATCTTGAAAACAGGTGGCATTGGTTAACTTATTATCATTAATAAAGTAGTTTTGAGTATTTAATTTTGGGGGGGATTTTTTAATTTTTTTAATTATCCATAAATGGAAGGGCATTTGAATTTATGTAGTAACTGCAAACAGCCAATATGTTACTAACTGTATGTTTTCTTTCCATAAATACAGAGCTATATTTACAAGAAACATTTAAGCCTTTAGTGAATATATCTCCAGATGCAAGGTAAACGGAACATTTTTTTCCTTTGAAAACATTCATTGTAATTTGTGCATTTTATTACTACAATAGATACATAAAGACAAACATGTTCTCTAGTCTAGATGGGACCGGATTCCTTAACTTCAGATACTAAATTTAATAACTTAAGGGACATTAGAAATCACAGCCAAGGAAGTGGCACTGTGGCTCAAGTGGTAGAGTGCTTACTCACCTTGAGCTGAAGAGCTCAGGGACAGCGCCCAGGCCCAGAGTTCAAGCCCCAGGACCAACAGTAATTGTGTATGTGTATGTGTGTGTGTATATATATTCCTGAGTTGAGATTTGAGGATCATAGTTCAGACCAGTTTGAGGAAAACAAATCCAAGAGACTCTTACTTCCACTTAACCAGCAAAAAGCTGGAAGCGAAGATGTGGCTCAAGTAGTAGAGCATCAACCTAAAGCAAAAAAGCTCAGGGACAGCACGAGGCCCCATCACGCCCCCTAGTGCCATCACAAAAACAAAAAAAAGAGAAGGAGGGAGGGCAGGTGGCTTGAACTCAGGGCCTGGACACTGTCCCAGAGCATTTTTTGCCCACTTGAGCCACAGCTCCACTTCTGGCTTTTTGCTGGTTAATTGGAGATAAAACTCTCACGGACTTGCCTGCCTGGCTGGCTTCAAACTGTGATCCTCAAATGTCAGCCTCCTGAGTAGCCAGGATTATAGGTCTGAGCTACAGGCGCCCAGCTGGATTAACCTCCTCTTATGGAGTGTGAAACACAGGAAGTGCGTGGAGGCGGGGTGGTCCACACCAGAAGTGCATGAAGGCTGGGCAGTCCAGAGTGTGCTGATTTTCCTTGGAAGCCTCCTAACAGCTTTAATGGATTTTCCCGCAGCCTCTTCGATGCTGTATACTCGTTGATCAAAAACAAAATCCACAGATTGCCAGTTATTGATCCTATCAGTGGAAATGCACTTTATATTCTTACCCACAAAAGAATCCTCAAGTTCCTCCAGCTTTTTGTAAGTAGTTCCTAGCATTTCTGAAGACCCAGTTGTGTTGACTTTAGTTTGTCTCAAGTACACTGGCTCCTGGAACTCCCAGCGAAAGGAATTGTCAGTGGTGAGATCCCCATGTCTAACCTTTACTTTCTCAATTTACTGCTATTAGACTTGTACATCCTCAGTGATTCTAATCAAAAAGCAATCACCTTTCAGCACAGTATCAAGATAATTAAAACAGAATTCTCCACCTAAATATGGTCACACTGCCACCTAAAGCAGCCTATAAATGAGGTTAGGACCTCTGTACAAAGGAAACTCAGGCAAAGGTTAGGGGGGAAATTGCTTCATGAGCCTATCAGGACGGCTCATGCCTGCAATCCCAGCTATTTGGGAGGCAGAGATCAGGATTGCAGTTTGAAGTCAGCCCAAACAAAAAATGAGATACTCCATCTCAACAATAAGCTGAGCATGGTGGCACACACTTGTAGCTCTGCTTATGCACGAGGTGTTAGGAGGAGGATTATGGTCTGAGGCAGCTTGTAATAAATACAGAACTACTTGAAAAATAAAGCAGAATTGGGCACCAGCAGCTCATGCCTATAACCCTAGCTACTCAGAAGGCTGAGAGCTGATGATTGCAGTTCAAAGCCAGCCCAGGCAGGAAAGTCCATGAGACTCTTCAATTAACCACTCAAAAACCAGGAGTGGAGCTGTGGCTTATAGTGGTAGAACACTAGCCTTGAACAAGAGAGCTCAGGGACAGCCTAGGCCCTGACTTCAAGCCCTATGATCAACAAGAAAAAGGAGAGAAGAACTGAGCTATGGCTCAAACGGTAGAGTACCTACCTGGCAATCACAAAGCCCTGAGCTGACCCCAGTACCACCAAAAAACTTAAACAGCTTCACGTTGTGTCTTTTGATGTCATGGTTTTAGAAACATGATTTTTAAAAAAAACTATCCCTGAAGTTTTCATTTCAAACTTAGCAGTAATGGAAAAGCCCTAAAACCCATTTTGTCCATATCCAGCCTGTGTTGTCTGTAGACTTTCTCGACTACCTGTGTCATGAGCCGGCTTCATAATCATCCCAAACATGGAACCTTTCTGGTGAGCAGCATTAAAAGCAGTTCTGAGGAAACTGAGTGTACCAGAGGCTATTTGAAAGTCCTATTTCCAAAGGAGGCAGTAGGTGGAGTCCACTTCACAGTAGCTTTCCAGGTTTCCTCTCTGCAGCTGCTCACAGAGAACTAGCACAATGGCACACTGGCATAATGTGCATGACCCTTACTGCAGAGGCACAGAGGGTCTAGTGATTGAGAAACACCTTGCAGTCAAACTAGTCCTGTGTTTTAATAGTGTACATGTGTAAGCAATACTATGTTAAGAGACACAGGGGCTGGGAAGGTGGCTTGGTGGTAGAGCACTTGCCTCACATGCGTGAGGCCCTGGGTTTGATTCCTCAGCACCACATAAGCAGAAAAAGCCAGAAGTGGCACTGTGGCTCAAGTGGTAGAGCCCTAGCCTTGAGCTGAAGAGCTGAGGAACAGCGCCCAGATCCAGAGTTCAGACCCATAACCGACTTTAAAAAAAAAAAAGAACAATTTTAAAAAGGTTCAGGTGGCCGGGCCTATAATCCCAGCTACTCAGGAGGCTGAGATCTGAGGATCGTGGTTCAAAGCCAGCCCAGGAAAAACACTCTTCATGAGACTCTTACCTCTAATAAACCACTCAAGGACTGGGAAGGTGGCTCAGTGGTAGAGCGCTTGCCTTGCTTGCCTGAGGCCCTGGGTTCGATTCCTCAGCACCACATAAGCAAAAAGAAAAAAGCCGGAAGTGGTGCTGTGGCTCAAGTGGTAGAGCGCTAGCCTTGAGCTGAAGAGCTGAGGGACAGCGCCCAGGCCCAGAGTTCAGGCCCCATGACCGGACCAAAAAAAAAAAAATTAATAAAATAAAATAATTTAAAAAATAAAATAAATAAACCACTCAAAAACCAGAAGTGTCATGGTGACTCAAGTGGTAGAGCATTAGCCTTGAGCACAAAGAGGCTCAGAGGGATAGTACCTAGGCCCTGAGTTCAAAACCCACAACCAACCAAAAAAATAAAACAACAGAAAATGTGGCCAAGCATGACAATATGCCCCTATAATCCCAGCTACTTGGGAGGTGGAGATTGGGAGGATCAAGGTTCCAGACCAGTTTAGGTAAAAATTAGTGGAACCCCAAGAAGCCAAGTGTGGCAGCTGGTCTGGCATCCCAATGTGTGTTTATGCGGGAGGCGGAACTGTAGCACGTGGTCCCAGGCAAAAGCTCAAAGACCTGTCCAAAAGGTAACTAACGCAGACAAGGATGGGGTTGCGGCTTATGTGGTAGATTGCCTGCCTGTTGCAAGCTATGAGGCCCTGAATACAAACCCAAGCCTAAAGCAAGCATCCACGAAGGGAGCAGGAAGGGCATGTGGCAGTATTGCTTGTCAGTGTGTAATCTGAGATGGTGGCAGCTCGCTGCTCAGGCTTCACAGGAATGGAGGATGGGGAGCAGGGAGGACACACTCAGGGCCCCCATGAGTCAGTCTCCATGCTGACAGCACGACTGGAGCACTAATCCCCAGCTGCCAAACTGTACCCTCCCCTCAGCCACCGCAGTGCTCCCACTGAGCAGCCCTGTGCGGGCGGTAGGGTGCCTGGTCCTGGCATCTCTGACTCCCAAGCCCAGACCCCATCTCTGCTGGCCTCTGCCACAGCAGCCCCCCCATCTGGGCCATGAAGAGTGGTGTCATCCTCAGCTGCCTCCTGTCTATAAAAAGACCGAGCCTGCCGCTGCCCAGCGCTGCCTGATATGTGGGCCGGTGTGGTGATGAGAGCCATGCTACTAGAATATTCAGCTAGACATTCGCAGATAAAAATCCCAGATTCAAAGAAACTCGGGGGCCTGCTCTTCACCACACTGCGCCATCACTCGCTTTGCCCTCGGATAGCGAGCAAAGGCGGCGCGGCGCGGCGCGGCGTGCGGAGCAGGGCTGTCCCGCGTGGGAGTGCACTGGACGACCTAATAGGGCTCTTCTCTTTTTTTTTTTCTCTAAATTTCTAGGATTCTCATGATTTGAATATTGATGAACTCTTTGACTTGAACGTTTTGTTTCTCCTAACTGTTCATCTTTTCCTGATAATTATAAGGTACACCAGGAGGATGGAATCACCTGTGCCCCTTATAAAATGAGGTGGATCTTTGGAACTGTAGTTCATTATGTTATAACCAAGCACATGGAACCCTCCACTAGCCTCCTCCGCTAGAGCAATGGGTGACAGGGAGTGTGAGAAGGTTCTTTTCCTTCTGTCCGGCAGTCTTGTTCCTTGCTCCTCAGAGACAGCACTGGGAGTCTCTAAGGAGAATGGGGTGTGGCGGTGGGTGGAATTCATACAAGCTGCTGGAGCCAGGCCAGGGCCCACTCAGTCAGGTGCATCAGTCAGGTTTGGGGTCTTGTGGCTCTTCTTAAGGTCACTTGGTAGCAAGTCCAGTCTTGGGTGAATGATTAAGAATAAGGAGTTTAATTCACCCAAACACACCTAGTGTTCTCCTCCCAGCCGTTTCAGTAAGGGAGATAAAGGTGGCTGCACTGTTAATGCCCCAAGTAGCTTACTGGGAAAGGACTTGCATGGACGTGCGATCCGGCTGAATAAGTGGAGTCACTTTCTCAGTGTGTGAGACATGCTCTGATCATTGGTCGGACATAGGGGTTTGGGGTTTTTGCTGAACTCTGGACCTTTGAGCCATCAAAGGGTTTGCTGAGGGGTGAGCTGTGCGCTTCTCTTCCTGCTTAGATGTCTGACATGCCAAAGCCCTCCTTCATGAAGCAGAACCTGGACGAGCTTGGCATAGGCACGTACCACAACATCGCCTTCATCCACCCGGACACACCCATCATCAAGGCCTTGAACATCTTTGTGGAGAGACGGATATCAGCCTTGCCCGTGGTGGACGAGTCAGGTGTGTGAACCCTCCCCTCCCCTCCAAGCAGCTGGCTGTGAATTGAGCGGCAGCCAAGCCCACAAATCGAGGGAGATGCCACACGCGCACATGCATATGCCCAGTCTCAGAGCACACTTGCGTGAAAACCTCCTCCTGCATCTTCCCCTGAGATCCCAGTCCATGTCCATTTCCACATAGACAAGTTCATTTAATTCTTTATTACTGTTGAATCCCCAGTAGTTATCTACTTAAGACTGATTTTAAGAGTTTCTTTTTTTCCATCCTAAAATGTTGTTCTAACGTATCTTTTCATTTTTAGGAAAAGTTGTAGATATTTATTCCAAATTTGATGTGATTGTAAGTATTTTTAATTTTTTTTAACTTTAACTTCAGAATGCATTTCACAACCTGTTCATTTGTGTGTGTTCTTGTTTACTAATTGCTACCTTCTCTATGAAGTCTTAGAGCATTCATTCCATTCATAGTCATGTGTTGAGCAATGAATTACATATGATTGTACACTAGTATTCTAGTGTATTGTCCCGCCCCACAAGTCCCTCCTTGCACAAGTCTTAAAGGGCCCTGTCTCCATGGCAGCCATGGCCCTTTGTCAGATGCAACTCTTGCTGCTGAGATGCATTATTAGATAATTTAGGTAGCTGTCTTGACTTTTTTTTTTTTTTTTGTCGGTCG